CAGAGACGACCGGCACAATAAATATCAGGTTTAACGGAAAGACGCGAGCGTGGTAGAAGCACCACTTGCAAGTAATGGTTACCCCTCTCTGTCCACCTTTCTTTTTCTATCGGCTTCTCCCCTGTTTGCTCGTGCCCCACCTTCTTTCTTTTTCGCCACCTCGCGACATTCCCTCGACGTGCCTCTTCTTCTTTCAAGTCGTTACGCGAAAGTCTCCCCAGAGGGATAGGCAAATTGTGTTTCAGAAAGTATAGGAATGACGAATACTTTGCTGATAAGAACGATGATTGGAGCGATACCTTTCTTGGAAAAATATATTTAACGGTTGTCCATGGTTATGCGACACTAGACAATATTTTTGAATGATATATTAGGTATAGAAATTAATTCTGTGCCTTTATATTCAATTATTTATCTTTTTAGTAACTCTAAACTGATTATATCTACTTGTCATTTTGGTAAATTGATATACGAATCTTCTAATGGGTTATTCAGTAAGTAATTTCGTCTTTCTCCTACCAGAATGATTAGTTGAATTTTTAACCAGCCAATTGCATTCTAAATAGTATTATCGTTATGTACAGTGGGTGTAGAAAGTATTCGTACACCGATCAATTTCCAAAAATAACTATGTAAAATTTGAATTTATTAATTTATTTTTTATAAACAATGACCCAAAAAACTTTTGTGTGAAATTGTAGTTTCTTAACTTATTTTATTATAATCAATGATATTTTACATATTCCCGGAAGTCTCTAAGATAGATATAGTCCAAACAACATTTACTAGTTAATATAATTTGTGAAATTAACAAAAAAAATGTGAAAAGTGAGTGAAAGTACAGAAGCAATAAGTATTTGCACGCTTCTTATGACGAACCATTTACAGCAGAGTTTGCAAAGGAAATCCCACGAAGGAAGTATTATATGTATACTTATAACTTAATGTTAATGTTAATTTTTTTTTTTTTTTTTTTTTTTTTTTTTTTAATTTCGTAACTTACATAAATAGCTATTTTTGTTGTACTCTATCTATTCTAGAGATTTCCGAGAATATGTAGAATGTCGTTGTTTATAAAAAATAAGTTAATAAATTACAATTTTACATAGTTTTTGTTGGAAATTGAACGGTGTACGAATACTTTCTACTTTGTATATTGACTGTTGTTCTAAATATATTGACTGTTGAAATTTCAAGGTTTATTTGTAAACAAAAAAAAATGTTACTTTTGAATTATTTATATATTGTATTATAAGAAAATCGTTTCTCTTTCATAAAGAAAACTACGAAAGGAACATTCCTAGCAAACAGCCTGTCCACCGATTTCGACGTATTATATCGTCTATGTCGTTAGATTCGTCAAACGACATAGAAATTAGTAATGTACGCAACAAGACGAATCTAACGGCATATAACACGTCAAAATCGGTTTGCTAGGAATATAACCTACGATATACCCTACGAAATAACTCCGAGTAACCTAATAAATCCTGAACCTAATGGTCATTATAATGCATTTGTATGAATTGTAATAACCATACAATATTGCTTACTACTATTCTTCTATAATTATTCTAATTATTAAATACATTTACAATCTGTTGGGAAAAAAATAATACATAACATTGTATGGTTGCCAATGTTCGTATATAAATAATGGTCATCAAGTTAGGACTTAGATTATACATATACGTATAAATTTACTGTAACGGAGACCAGGTCGCGAACTTGAAAGGTTCGTACTTTAACATATGATAACAAATGGTGATTAAATATTTCTACTTAATCTAAAGTTATAAATAATTGAGTACAAGACACAGAATTAACTTCTACACCTAATATTTATAGTTTCTTGTCGCTTTTAATCCATTCTCTTTATGCGCCATATTTTCACGACTGTGGTTAAAGATTAATATATTATAATTATAGTCTTGACAACCTGAATTGCTGAACGTTTTCGGTGGTGATTTCAGGTTTCTTTAAAATACGAATAAGGGGAATAAAAATGTTAATATTTTCAAGGATATTAAATAGAAAAAACACAATTTACTTGTGGAACAATAGTATGTAAAGATACATTGACTTGAAGTGAAGAATAATGTTCCCGATAAACGTTAAATAATTAAATTTGTAAAGTCCCAAAACGGTTTCTGAAATGTTTATATACATATTGAAAAATCCATAAATTGCTTGTTATCGGTTATTTTGTGTTTTACATATATCTCAATTGCAAAATCATTCAAATTTGCCCATCCCTATACTCTTGCCATTAACCGTGTGATAATGAATTAAAGTTTTGATAAAATATGAAGCAATAGACCGAACCCGTACCTCTTCACAAGAAAGCTTGTGGCGTTGTATACTTTTTTCGATTATTAAATCAATTTCAGGATGCAAATTCACGCCCATTATGGAAAATTATGAAAGTTTATATGTATACAATGTAACCTTCAGGGATAATACTTGTTAAATGGAAACGATTCTTACAAAATGATCGACGTCAGTTATTTTTAACGATTAAGGTTATTTTACAAAATTGTTGCTACATGAAACTGTTGAAAATGTTTTTTATTTAAATGAAGGTGACAGAGAGACATATAGGACAATTTTTTTTTGTTTACTGACATGTTATACTTCACTATATAGGATGGTAGATATTTTTTTTAGACAAGGTTTTTATTTTTTAGTGTGAAGATAAAATCATCTACCACGAATATACTATTTATTTAGAAACTAAAACTATGTAGGCTAGCTACATATATATGTATATTATGTTGTACAAGCTGTTTAATATTTACAGTTTTGTACAATATTTTTTCAATATCTATTTGCTAAGTTTTATCCAGTTATCTATTGCAAATTTAATTATCTTTTATTTATATCTAATATGAAACCACGATGAAATAGGATGCATTTTTAGGAAAATTTTCTTGTCAGTCTATAAGCTTGAATAACTTTAAACGATACACAGGTCGTTGAATGTTATAGCGTTAGAAAACTCCACTTTACAAGATAAAGCATGCAACATTCTATTTAAAAGAGCAAAGTTAATCTTGAATTCGACGAAAAGGTCATTGATTAATTATTTTGGATACACTAATTTAACTTTGAATAATACTTAATTGTTTAATTTTTTTAATATTCCTACGTTCATAAATAAACAGGGGATTTTATGAATTTTTAACATACACGAATATAATGCAAATTCTGTTATTTATATTAGCTACGTTTAAATAACTAAATAAATTAATTCTGATGATGAGCAGACCATCTTAAACATCTCTGTTGCTTTATACGACATAAAACAAATTTTCAATTTCAAAAGAGCAATATTATCATACGCGCGAAAAATATATCAAGCTCATATTTTCCAAAAATTATCAATGGTTTCTCAAATGGGATTGGGTACATTCACTATGATAGTATTATGATTGATAAAAAGACGGATTCAAATATGTATAATATATTGATCTTCGGATGACTTTAGGAGGAGTTACTATTACAAAATCAATGAAATTTGTAGCTGAAATATCTTAGTTGCTTTTAATGATGCGAAGATGTGTATCAAGAGGATAATGTTTGGTTTGGAGGAGGACATAATAATAGACAAAAGGATTATCTCAAGGTCATTGTTTCTGAAATTTTAAGGTCATTTTGATCAGCTACAATACTTGAATAATGAAACTACCCCACCCATTAGAAAAAACCATTGATGATCTTGAAATTTTGAAAAATACGACCTTGAGATATTTTTTGTTTAGACGATAATATTGCCCCTTTGAAACTGAAAAGTTTTTGTCAGAACAATGTTTTTGTATTGTTTAAAGCAATAGAGATATTTAGGGTGGTCACCTTAACTGCTACACTCTGTATATTGCAAACAAATTTTGATTACATAAGTGATCGAGGCCAAAATTCTTAGGTTAAATTTGGGTTAAATCCAAAATTCTTGGGTTAGGTCTTGGTTAGATTCAAAATTCATGGTTTAGGTTGGTGCTAGATTCAAAATTCATGACTTATGAAATTGTTGAAGAACGTTGGTTTAATTGCATCGTGTCTACATATACACCATGAAATTGGATTCTACAGTCTTTTGGTAACTGTCTTGGATAAATGCGGGTTTTTGGATATCGTCGCCTTGTCACCAGGCGAGTGTCGCAGTACTTTATTTATTCATACCGTTGGGGACGTGTATAGGGGATTGAGGAAAATTCAGAAGGAACGTTCGGAATGGGAAGCAGAACTGGTGCCAGGAACAGTGCCGATAGTGTTGAGACCGTCTAACGATGACATTTAAATGCAGTGCCGCGCATCGTTTGGTTCTTCGTGCCGACGATTCTCTTCTTTCTGCTATCCTTTGCTTTTACTCCTGTTTACTCACTCAACTCTATTCTGAAAAACGTAGCAGGGGATGCTTTGAGAAACAAATATTACTGTTCGTAAGCCCCTCGACGAACAATATTAATTTTTCTTCCATTCGTTTTCGTTTAATAACTTAGCTCAGCATAATGACAAAAACAAATGGACAAATTCGAGTATCATTGATCATTAATTACTTCCAACTAAAACACTCTCTATTGTAGTATGAACAGGATTATTCACATTAAGTGTATTTATTAAATATTTTATATTTAAATATAAACATATATAATATAAATATCATATAAATATATAAATACCATATAAATCCATATTACCACTGATATACTGTGTAGTGTAGACAGAATCATTTGAATCAAGTGTATTTATTAAATATTTTATATTTACATATAACCATATATAATATACATATATAGATATATATATTTATATAATATTAATACTAATATCATACGAGGTTATTTACTGTAATGCCTAGCCTTAAATTGGAAGTTTCAACTTTAATCATCTTGTATATCAACAGTAATATAATATTCATTAATTAAATAACATGTCCATAAATATAATAGAGAGCGCTGAAGACAATTCGGTAATTCTCCTGTATTTTCTTCTTGTTTTAGCTGAATTTTGCGAATAACGCCGAAAGCGTAGGCTACAAGTCATTACATCCATTACATCAGAGGCCCCGGAGGACCTGGGCAACGATGGATGCTGCCAGACAGGAATGATAGGTAAACAGGCCAGCTATTAATTAGACCTATCCACTACCCCATGGCTGCTTATGCCATCCTCACTAAGTACTTTACTCAATTATGTTAATAGATTTGAAATCTAATTATTATTAACTGCGAGACTAACTATTGTGAGAATCTAAAAAACTATCATTTAAAGATATGTCGAAATTAATTCAATTATAATTTTCACAGAATGCAAGAGGGTAGCACCGCCGTGGCGCTAGCGATGGTGACTCCTGGCTACGATCAGGACCCTGCAAGTGGGGTTGCCGATTACACAACTCATCAGGATCAGGCACAATTCGAAGCAGACAAGAGGGCAGTGTACAAACATCCCCTCTTCCCGCTGCTAGCGTTACTATTTGAAAGATGCGAACAAGCAACGCAGGGCTCGGACAATTCCACGTCCGAAAGCTTCAACATGGACATAGAGGCCTTCGTCCAACACCAAGAAAGAGACCGAAAGCCATTTTTGATCAATGACCCCGAAATTGACGGTTTGGTGAGCCACCCTCAATGGATCCCTCGATTATTTGAGGCCACCAATCCTGGATACATTTAACATTTAACCCTTAAGTAGGCAAGGGATTACTGATATTTACTGTTCACCGTACAGTAGACTATGGTCTGGTATAAAGAAGCTATTTTTTTATTTATTTTATAAGAATTATCTCTTTCCACCCGGCTATTTCATATTTGAGTTCTATTTGTTTCTCTTTTAGAAATCAATTTGATTAAACTAGAGTTGGTTACAAATCAAAGGCCTTAGCCAGATAAAAGGGATAATTTGACTCAGCGCTAATGATTTTCCATTTTTTTTTTTTTTTTTTTTTTTTTTAAATTTTTTGTACATATGTTTTTGTGAGTCTCAATTGTAGTTTGGGTAATTCTCGAAACGGTTCAATACGCCAAGATAAATATACCAACAGTTAGGCTAATTAACACTAGAACTACCTACAGGTATGCTATACTATTGGTGTCTTTACTGCACTCATATGTTAGAGATAAGCTTTTATCATTAATAATTTAAAAAAATGAGTATACCTACATATTACAAGTCTAAACACACCTACTTAAGGGTTAACATAAATGCAAATTGGAATTTTGAAAATACTTAAATTTGGTCAACATTGAAATCGAGCATTTGTTTCTATTTTTTTCTTTAACTTGCACACCGATTCGTTGTAACTGTTACTCTGTATAAAGTAAACGATTTTCATATATTTGTGTATTTTAGAGCGGTGTAAACAAGAAAAAAAAATATGTAAATTCGGTTCATCTACGTATTCCTGTTTCGCCGATCGAACACTACGGAAACACCCAGAAACAAAGATTCCAATTCGGCGCGAGAAAAACAAAAAAATAATAAACGACGGCTCGAATGCGGTTCAATATGAAAAACGAATCGATCAGTTGTCGACATTGTTTTTTTTTCTGTGCCTTGCCAATCGTAGATGATCAAGGCGATTCAGGTGCTGCGAATTCACCTACTCGAATTGGAAAAGGTTCAGGAGTTGTGCAAGGACTTTTGCAACAGGTACATCACGTGCCTGAAGGGCAAGATGCAGAGCGAAAATCTGCTACGCAGCGATTACAGTCACCATGGGCACGATATGGGTCCATCGAGTGGCAGCAATGGCAGCAGTCCTTTGCAGGTTAGATATAATTTCTTTTACGTTTAAGCCTCCCTGGTCTGCTCTCCCTTACCTACGTAGATATCCTTTTGTTAGTGATGCGCAAGGATCGCGGATACCTCTTAAAGAAAACGCTACATGCTCTCTCTTAACCGCCTTCATTTCAACAGCCAAGCCTTCGGACTTTTTTTAACATTGCCATCTGCGGTGAAACTGTATCACGTTATTAAAGTAATTAGTAGTTTGCTCGTATACTTCATGGAGGATATTTACGTCCGTACATTAAAATGTAGTTCTGGCGACCAATTCGCGAGCACTAACAGCATTCCTTTAATTTACACCTTGTACAGTTAGTAGTTGGTAGAGTAACATTTTAACTACTGCACTTAAGTGTATTACTGCAAATAACAATACTATTCTAAATGTTCACGTTAGAGGACACATTAGATATTCTGCGGACAACTCTGTAAAATATTTTACTGCCTTGTTTAACTTGTAGATACAATTATTTAAAAATGAATCGTGAAATTAATTGATCTAAAATTAATTGATTAATTTAGAGCACAGGAACTTCCTACCATTGATTAATTCTGTAATGTATATAGTTAAGAAGTAATTATGAATTGTTAGTGGTAGAAAGAAATTATTTACAATCATTAAATATCAACTATCATATATCATATATACTCTTATTTGCTATAATGGTTTCCCCTATCTGTTTATTGATTTTTACCATTTTTTTTTTTTTTTTAAATTTTGCTTAAAGCCGTTTTTGGAGAAATGATTATACAAACATTTTAATAAGTAATGACATGAAATAAAGAAACATGAATCATTCACACATTCATTGAGTTATTTATCATATAAAAGTGCAGATAATTGTAAATTAATAAATTTCATATGACAAATTAAATATTTACGCCAGAAACAAAAATGAATTTTTATATAAAACTTGTTAGTAGTTAGGTGCAAGCCATTATAGAAAATGAGGAAACAGATATCGATGGATAATAAGTAATAAATTTTCTCGTATGAGCTCTAATCTAGGAGAAATACTTATAATTAAAAAAAGGAGGAGAGTTAGTATGTAGTATTAAACATAGTAAGTAGAAAAATTAAAAATTTGCAAATAAATTGACATACTAACTGAGATTCGGTGATGGATAAGACATACAAATAGAATTGATCTAACATAATATAAGGTATACTGTGTAATCTATAAATGCTATGATAATATTTTAACGAATGTTCTAGTCAGTCGTGAAATAATGAAACAAAATACCAAAAGCAAAATATAAATGCATCGTTTCATTAAACGTTAAAGTTGTATTAGTGTATCTAGAGCAGGGGCTGGCAAACTCTAGTCCACAAGAAAAATTTCAAAAACCCGATATTACGTCCAAAATTGCAACTTTGAGGTTGCTAAGTATCATTAGTAAGAAAACTATGACAAAATACAGTTATGATCGTACTTCACTTTTCGATAAAAAGCACAATATTCACAAACTCCTCGGTAAAAGTTACAAGGTAGGGTCCCAGCGAAAGCTTTTAACGAGTATGATTGGCGATTTACTCCAGGAATCCGACAAGTACATCCCTTCAAATCTAAGATAGAATCATTTGTATTTTTCATCATATCTTTATAAACTTCTTCTGGATTGACAATGTTTTCTAAATGAAAATGCTTCCAAACATAATCTTATTAGGATTATTTTTTATCATAATATATTTTCAAGTTTCTCGGAAGATACTTTTCCACTCACAGATATCGAATAATATAAAATAATACAGAATAATACATACAGTCTTTCCACGCAAAGCTACAAATTATTACGGTTCAGCTTTCGTAGACAAAGTTTGCCCACCTCTGACCTAGAGTCGTCGCTAGATTCATCGTTCAGGTTCGGATTGGAATGTATAGTTTAATGACCGAGCGATACTTGCGCGTCGCTCGAAATATAATAGAATCCCACCCCTGCTCTCTGACGGCTAGTTGCGACATATATTTCCCAGGTGCTGTCTTCTACAGGCAATGATGTTGAGCCGGGAGCTAACGGATTCCGAGTGAGCAGAGGCGACACCCTGTCGGAGAACGGTGGTGCGAGTCAGGTGGCTGCGCAAGAGGAAACCGGTAACGACAGGCCGCCTTCGGTGCGTTCATCATCCACCGCTCAACGCTCCAACAGATCCTCTAGCCAGGACCATGACGATCCTCTATCACCACCCACGGTACATGGCAGCACGCCTCTTTCACAGATCGGGGTACATCCTTGTGCACCAGTCAACGATATGTATCTTGGTCAAGGTAAGCAGCTCGGGTATCGTCTACTTTGAATATTCATTAATCACTCATTCTCGTTTAAGGTCTACAGTGAGTAAGTAAAAATGATTGCAAACAAGTCTCCCTAGCAGCTTCCTTATTCATTTTTTTTTTTTTTTTTTTTTGTTTTTTCTTCCATTAGCATTTGAACTGTTCATCGACCCTCAGCTGATGCGATGGAATCTAAATGAACCACAGAGTTCTGGAGTGTATCCATTTTAATAGTATACAATTTTGCGTAGTCTGTGTTTAACCTTTGAGTGACACAAGTGGGTGCTCCTCTGATGGCCCACTTCTGAGTTTTGTTTGTGTTTGTACTACCCTAGTAGTGGGAAAATAGTCGTATACTAATTCGTTCTTGTCATTAAAAGAATATTATAGATCATTAATTTAAGTTTAGTTACATTCTTCACTACAACCAGATATTTAAAAGCTTGATATACAATTTGTCTTACAATTAGCATCAGGAACTTCATTAATTTGTGACAACATTAAGTATTATTTTATTTTAATGTAAGATAAATTATTTATCAAGCTTTTGAATATCTGATTGTAGTGAAGAATATAACTAAACCCATCTTAATAATCTATAGTATTTTTAAAATAGTAGTTATTATTCTTCATGATCCACTTAGCGGTTTTTGTAGCCTTCCGTTTTTATATCTCTCATTTATAACCCAAAGAAACAGTGCGGATCTTATAATATAATATCTTATAAAGTAAGCATACTATTCGAGTAAGTAATCCACAGATCATTTGAAGCAGTATATTTGATTAAAGTAATTGATATTCTATAATGTAATCGCTAACACTCACATTATGAATAATATTTCATCGTACCAGTTGATGGTTCAGTACAGAAGTAGTGACAATTTCAAACCAATTAGTAAACTGTGACGATCACTTGATACTGAAAGTATTCTTACAAGTAATACAGTAGATAACTGTATCGAGGAAAAAGAATTAGATGATTTAAACGTAGTCGTTACCCACTTCCATTTGTAGATGATATGGACTATGTGAATATTGGCGACAGAATATATTTAGAAGAAGCTGGCTATTGGGGCCTTCTTGCATTACAAGAGCGCGAGAATGAATACGTCGATGTCGGGGATGCTAACGACGAAAAGTATTTTGGTTAGCAAACGTTGCTCATTGTTTAAATTGTTGATAACTATCTTTAAAAATCCGAGTAAAGATTTTACAATATAATAATGAATGCATAAAAATGCATTATTCATCACATTTCTTCCGAAGACTATATCTCATGTGATGTGTTTAGATATCACTGTGGCAGGCTCTCCCTCCCCTGCACCCAGTGAAGATGAAGACGAGGGGTGTGGCACTGGCACTGCTACTTCAAATCATAGTAGTAACCATGGAGGTAGTCATAGTAGCATTAAGAAGGGAAGGCAGAAGCGGGGCGTCTTACCTAAGCAAGCTACGAGCATTATGAGAACTTGGCTCTTTGAACATTTAGTTGTAAGTATAATACTTATTAATCTTGCACCCAGATAAAAAGTGTAACATGATTACTCCAGTGGAGTTTGGCTAGTCTTAAACGCAACTTATACAAATTCTATTGGCGTCAGTTTTCTTACATTTAAATACATTTCTTTTTCAAATGATCCCACTAGTACTGTCTAATACAAAAGGTTAATAAAACAGGGAAATAAGAAGAGAGTGTTTAACGTTTTACAGCATCCATATCCTACGGAGGATGAGAAGCGTCAGATCGCGAGTCAAACAAACTTAACGTTGCTGCAAGTCAATAATTGGTTCATCAATGCTCGTCGACGAATCCTTCAGCCGATGCTCGACGGCGCCGGGGCTGACCCGGTGCAACGCGCCGGTAAACGTCATAAAGTGTCGAAGCACGTCGTCCAACCTCAGCACGTGCAACAGCAACAAGCTGGCGGCTGGCAATCCGAAGATTCCGGGAGCGATTCAGGCTCCAGCGACGGTGAGGGGGGTGCCGATAGATCGAAAGATGGTAACGATAGCGACGAAGATGATCTTCACTGACCTCTGTCGATCACCGAAACGTCAACCTCTTTACGGTACCTTCAAATCCAGTTGCTCATTACAGTATTAAGGTATTCGAGAATAGATTTCGCTTTAACTGTCAAATACATAATTATTCTCGCGAAAATCAAAGGTATATCGGCTGAGGTTATCACGCTCTCTTATCGGATTCGACATGTTTCATCTCTTTTTACCATCGATGGAGCCACCTTTACAGATTTATAACAGTCATCAATTGTTAACTCGCTGATCACGATCCAAAAATGTTCAAATTGAGCAAACACTGAGAAAGTTTGATTTGAATTCGTATTTGAATTGTTTCCTATTATTCGTGACAGTAAGTTACTTGGATCTCTCCCCGAACGAAAAGTTCTTCCGAAATTGTTATGTTTTGTTTTTTTTTGTTTTTTTTTTTGTTTTTTTTTTTAGATCGTTGCTTTATAAGCTGTAGTTCGATTAATTTGCATAATTCTCTATTTCTTAAAGTTGCCTTTTTTTTTCATTTTCGTTTAAAAATTACATAGATCAAGATCACAAACGAGGTTGCTACAATCGTAGCATGAAATACTTCTAAAGATCTCGTGTTCTAATAGGTAATAGATCATCATTTATGTCTTTCAAACCATTGAATATTGCTAATCTTCGGCTGATAATACGGTGATTCCCTTAGTTGACAGTGTAGAAAGAAAAATCGAAATATACACGGGATCTTTGTGTAAAAAAATATTTGCGTATAACGTGTACATTTTTCCTACAATGTAACTGATAAAATCAATCATCTATTATATTCGTTTAATGGTGCAGCTAACGAGTCATAGCTAAGAGACTAAAACAAGTCAGCATTGGTATATTTTTATATCAAACTTCATTTCTGACGAAGTCAGAATTTTTTACAGCATTTAATAACTACGATTGCGTAAAAAAAAGAAATCAAAAAGAGAAAAGAAACAGAGTACATGATGATCTGACATCTAAATTTCTTATGTGCAATTCAAACATCTAGTTTCGCCGGCGAGCCATTCTTACTTTAAACACTTTTTAAATGTATACTACTAGTACGAAACGTTTACTCTGTGAATTCCGGACGCTAAAGATTGAAGTAAATAGGCGGAATTTTTGGAGCTTAAAAATTCGTTGTATTAAAACGGAATGGAAGATCAATTTCTTATTTCGATACACTTCACGTAACCCGCAATTCCTGAATAGTTCTAACCAGGAATAGATATTTCTGTAAGAATTCCTAGTATATTTCTATAGCGCTATTGAAATCGTCCAAATGAGACTATGTATAGTATAGGAATCTTATAACGACACGATTGAACGATCGTTCTCAACCCTTCCTAATTAAAATAAGCTACGACGATTATTGTCATATACTTAAATATGTCATAGACGAGATGTAACGATCGGTCAATACAACACAGAGAAAAAAAAGAATCTGGCATATTGTCGATAAAGGATTAAGATAAATTTACTGACGATTGCTCTCGCAGGATTTTTTTATGATCTCTCTCGAACTCGTGCAAACGGATGATCGGTCAGTAGATAATAGCAAATCTCGATCCTGTTTCCTTCGTGCCATTAAAGAGCGTGGTAACTTCCGCGTTTAGTCTTTGTTCAGCTCTGCAGTGTCGTGAAATAGCGAAGTGCTATCCCTCCAAGATAATAATAATAACATTAATGATATTAATATTAATAATAATACTATTACAAATAATAACAACAACAGCAACAACAACAACAACAATGATAATATAATACTACTTTAAATATATGATGATTATATTTTTAAACTCTAAGTGTCGTCTTTAAACGCGTGTACCGCAGTTTGAGTTGTGGTACTGCTGTACATACAATACACCGAACTGTTGTTAGAATTAAAGGAAGAAAATATTAGTGATTATCTGAAGAAAAAGATATTAACGATACGAAACCTTCCTTGTAACTGAAAACGTAACCGAGAGCAAAGAGTTAAAGAGAGAGAAAAAGAAACGTCTTAAGGCTCGACGACAAGCACATGCCATCTTAGGATTATAAGTGTTCATACATTTGCTGTCTGCATATGATGGTGTTGCGTTTTACTGAAAGTTAGCCATCAGATCGCGAGTGCTGAATACTTAGCGACGTGTATACTTTTTAACGATAATAAATACCTTAACCCTTTGCGGTCCAAATTCGCTGATCTCGGTACATTTTTGTCGAGCCTCGCTCGACACTCGACCGCAGAGGATTAAAAGAGCGTACAGATTGTCCCGAAACTTCGATCCGATATCGACATCGTTTCAAATTAGATAACATGTGTAATATGTTCTTCTTGTTGTTATACTCGTCTTCGATCGCCTTTCAGCTATTTCCAAGCGTTCCGTCCATCGCACTGTAACGCATAAAATGTTGAAGCTATCCTAAAATCTTTGACTGCCTTGGAAATGCGATTCTAAAGGGATAAACGTTTGCCGAAGTCGATTATCGAAACTTCGAAATCTAATAGCCTTACAGAGGTCGATTCATTCCTACACCATCACGTCTCCTATTTTAACACTTTATCTACTAGGAGCCTAGTCACAGGTTTTTTAATTTCAATATTTACCTACTAAATTGAAGAAATAAATAAGGCATTTAATATACCTTATGACAATATGCACGAGTCAATGTCAACCTACACTAATATATTTTAATGTAGAATGTTCCCTTGTAAAGTCCAGACTTTCTCCAAATAAACCAGTAGATAAAGTGTTAACAGAGTTAATAACCTTTCAAAATTTATCGAATTTCCAATGCTTTATTCTTCCACAAAGAGAGTACGAATAGAACTGAAAATTCATCGTATATCCCTGGCCACGAGCGTTATAGTATAACAATTAAAATCAAAACACATGTAGCAAGTAAAACAAAATCACTTGACCATTCGAAACCGCGAAGGAAGTATGCCTGCCATATCATCTACCTTCATTGCTCTGTTTTTCACTCAGGTAGTCGAGATAGCACTTTGTAAAAGTTTCTTTGACTCTTTGCAGCGCAAAAATTTTAGCTTTTAAACTTTTCAATGCGAAAAAGAGGTTAAGCAAATATATGTTTGAAAGTAGTTATTTGTATTCTCAAGTACAAAAGACAAACATAGTAGCTTGAAATACATTTCTGAAGGGTTTACATTTTTTGTTTTAAAATGTTCTCTTCCAAGGTGGTTGTAAATGCATGAGGTAAATTGTTGAAGTAAGTGGTCACTGGTGCTAACCACTGCCTCCGAATAAATACTATAATTATTAGACGAATACCTAAGCTAGCCACGGCGGCTGCAAGACGTTAAATGGCCAATTAAGTTTGACTTTTGAGTGTTTAATGATAGAAAGCATAAAAATTCGTAAAGCTTTGCGTTGGAAAACACGATTCGCAAAAAATGTTTGTTTGCGGCGAGTTTCACAGAATTCCTTAAGCACAATGGTGTCAGTGATTCATAGTATACAATACTCACTCGATTTCTCTGTACATATATTCCACGCAATTACATAGAAACTAACCAGGGATGGGCAAAATATATTTTAAAAAGTATTGGAATAACGTATATTTTAATAATTTGTATCCTGTTTGTGGTAAAGTGCTTGAACGTATTCAGAAAATTGTGTCGGTTTCATTGTCGAATACAGAATACATAAGTATTTTGACAATATTTCATATTCAATGCCTGAGTAGATGCAGAAACTTGATTAAGTCTTATAAATATTTAAATGTGTATTCTAGCTGTGCATACATATACAGAGTGCCCCAAAAATGTTGGAGTTCCTTGAAAGGCGTGGTTCAGGTGGTGATTTGAAACAATTTTTTCCTTAAAGAAACTGTTGTTTCAAATCACACACGCGCGCGCGCGCACGTACACACACACACACCAAAGGAGCTCCAACATTTTTGGGACACCCTGTGTTATCTACATGATGTTTGCTCTTTAGATTTTCTGTAAATAAATCACTTTATACCAATATTCATTTTTTATAAATTTACAAATTGAATTATTTATTAAAATTGAATTCATAAAAGCCCATATGAATTCACATGTTCATTTCTTTATTAAAATATTCATAAATATTTATATAAATTAAAAATGTATTAAATAATTTATGAATGAATAAATAAATAATAAAGCTTGTAAATTTGTAATACATTTCCAAATGATTCATGTATTTATAAATTTACAAATTATTTTAAGTAAATCAATTTATAAGTTTCTTAAAAATTGCCAACATTTATTTCAAACTTATTTGTTTGTAAATAATTTGAAGAACAGACATCACACCGATACTATATACCTTCAACCTGGCACAGTGGTGTACTTTCTATTCATCAGTGAAACCGAATATAAATATTTCAATTACAAATCATTCAAATGTGCCCATCTTTGATTTTAACTCATTGAATACGTCAGACAGCTCGACGCTTAACAAGATTTCATCAACTGACAAGACTTAATTCCATTGATATACAACGATAGGAGACAAAGAAGCACGTCGCTAATAAAGCATCTGAAACTTGCACCGCCGATCCTCAGTTCGCCCAGAAGAAACACGTCTCATACAAAAGAGGGGTTGAAATCGTCGATTAGATCGGTAATCACTTTACTGGTATCCTACATACTTCCGGTATCAATGTACATAGCCAACTGGCACAGAGTGCTTCCATTAGTAGCTCCACGGGCTCATTTTTCCGAACATCCGAGGCAATACCGATTTCGAAATCAGTTGCTGGTCTTTAAAGAAGCCCCTAGATCAGGCATGTCAAACCAATTTTTATCCAAGCGCCAATTTACTTCTCCATCATGTGTACAATTGTTTTAACACAAGCTAACATATGTCGAATTGATAAGAAAACAAGACGTCTCACCCTTGGAGTAAATGCCATGTAAACATTACATGCTTAATTGAAAAGTATCAATCACCTTGTTCAAACTCATTTCTCTATTGGTAGGAGACTAAATGTTGAATCCTGTTTATGTATGTTTACATTGGATCAAAAGGTCTCATAGATAAATACATGAAGACTAATGATGGAACCTAATATTTTCAAAACAAGAAAAGTACCTTAATCTTTTTCAAGTGTTTTGTTCTTCGTCGCTAAAAAAGTTGTTCATTGAAGAATTTACAATGGATTCCGGTTACTTGAGCCATCGATAAATTGGACAAACCGTTTATTTAGGAAACTGTTAAAGAACTCTTAAAGAATAAAACTGAATTAGGAAAATAGACAGAATTATCTAAATTTATGTAGGACATCATGTTGTTTAATCGAGATAAAGGACATTCAGCCTTACACAACCTTGAGGAGTTGGAAATAAATTGGAATCTGAATTTGAAATAATTTCTTATAAGACCTTAGTTCAAAATCAATTACGAAGTAATTTAATAAGAATTAAGCTCTAGCTAAGTTTAATCTAAATTCTCCACACGTAAGAGACTATTTCCAACTTACTTGTTTAACCCATTTGCATCACATGGAGAAATGGAGAATTCGTTCTTATCACCAATATTTTATTTGAATTCAATTTCCAATTAACTTGCGCGCATATATGCGCTAGTGATGCAAATGGGTTAAGACAGCATCTGTTATAAGAGTCTCACTGAAGAGGCGAAATGCAATCGTTTACATACAACGTAATATACACGGGATTTCTTAAAAGTCCAGTAAAATTTGTCTAGGTCCGATATGTCTCATTAACGGGAATCTATTATACTTTCAAACATCATAGATAATATGGAACTGAAAAAAATGAAAGATGTGTAAACGTCAGTGGACTCGCATATTTGGCATGCCTGCCCTAGACTAAAGAAACGAATCGATCGAGAGGCTTAGTAAAACAATATTATCAGTTGAAGACAGCTTTTACAGTATAGCTCCATATACGGTGTAGTAAGAAGGAGGAAGTCGAACGATAACGGACAAAAGTGTGAATTAATTAACACAAAATAAAGGAGGCACTGACATTGTTTAAATGTGTAAAACGAGAGAAGAGATTCGCTTGTCGTCCGGGGGGCGTATCAGCGTGACACAGGTCCTCGATCAGTCGCGCTGATTAGGTCGCTGTTTACAAGTACCAGCAATAATGCGCACTTTCCATAAATGATAGAAGTTAAGTATCGTATCGCGAAAGAATCACCTGGTACGGGACTATACTGTACTTTGACTAAGTATAATTATAAAGTAACGTTAGATTAAGAGGTAGGTTTTAAGGCTGAACCACGTATACGTATGTGCTGCGGCACCAGACGACTGTGATAACTCGGTGGGCGGTGCCCAGCCTCCTACTTCATACTTGTATACTGAAAACTATGAGAATACTTAAAGACACAACACACACAAACACGGACACACGCAAGTAGCAAACTGGAGAAGTTTTGAACTTGGATGTTTGGAGCTTGCATTGTGAGATACTCGACTACTGGATCCGTTAAGCTTCTTACGTGATAACACACTCGTTGCGCACTCTACTTTTACGCTATCAGTGATATTTGAATATGATCACTCTAAAAGTAGTTTGTCTTATTTGAGAAAGAGAAAGAAAACAAATGAAACTGATATTATAAAGTTAATGTGGAATTTGTTCGTTCTAGTGGAAGACCTAAAAACAGAGATGGGCAAAATTTGATTTGAATAGAAAATTAAGAATAAAACTAAAGGTATACTCATATATGGACAACGTTTATTCAATTAAACAGATACATTTTTATCTACTCATTGTGAATTGTTTTATTATATATTTTAAATTCTAGATTTTATACAGTGAGTAATACGTTAAATGGTGTTTAATCTTTTATTTGTTATTCGAAATTTGTACCCATATTAGAATTTTGCCTATCTCTGAGTATTAAAGTATTTTGTTACTTTACATATTTGTCGTTAGCGATACTGTTTGGTCGTCTCAGTTTCGTTCTCGTCATTCAAACTAGAAATCGGATATAAACAATAATTCAGTTGCAATGTTAAATAAAGCGAAACTATGCTCACTAAAAATTTTGTAACCATAGTTTTACAGTTGTAAGTGAATATGTTAGATCGGTGTTTCTCAAACTGTGGTCCGCAGACTCCTGAGGATTCACAAGATCTTTGTCGAAAATAAGGAGCATATTATATACAATTTGCAAAAGCCCTATTACTGTTTCAATCTCTGTTATATAGTATTAAGTAAATCCCAAGAATTATACACTAAGTGTATGTACATTTAGTTTTGTCATTGCTTTTCATCATAATTAAATCATGTGAAATCATTAACGTAAAATAACAATTCTGTACATGTTAACACATTTAAAAAAAAGACATTTTAAAAATATATTAACGAGATGATAATTTCATTCTACTGCTGTGACGTTTGAGAAACACTGAATTAGGTGATCGACGTAACGGCGAATGTGTTGAAACGAATATCGTATGCGCCAACAAAGTATTATGATGTAGAAGCAAATTATTTTGTTCGCGATAGCTGAAGATACAAATTGAAGGGTGTCGTGTTAATTTGCTTTTAAGTGTAATAATGTCTAAACAAAAAAAAAGAAGAGAAAAGAAAGGTCTGAAGCATGAACATTTTCGTCCTTACAGGTGCATTCGAGTACATGTACGAGGACGGATCTTCAGATAAAATCACTAATGTCGTCACACATTAGTGATTGATGTGCAAGCTCTATCTAAAGTATTTAAGGAGATAGGAATGGACCAAAAAAAAAAAAAAATAAGACAGTAACGAGGATTAATTTTGGTACAAGATCGAGTCCCACGCTGTTCTGTTCAATCTTCCATATACTTTTATGGGTAGCGGTACTAAAAAATAATGGTAATATTATGTTTGATTGTTCACCGTGTTGTACAGTTGACTCTTTCTAATGCAACAATGTAATTCGAGAAAGTATTCTGTGACAAACTTTTGTAACAATTCACGTTACGTTCGTATAAACTTCCCATACCTATTGTGTTCTTGAGAAACAATTTATGAGAAGTCAAAGAATTGCTTGTTTCTCTTGTTCATATATATTTACTCCAGTTTTAAGTTCAACTTTTCTTCAAATTTATATATAAATAATTCCGTGTTACTTTTATGTTCTATTTGCTTCCATGCTTTTTATATTTCTAATGTTCGTGAATTATACAGAAGTTTACAAGCAGCACAATTTGTTTCATGTGTCGTAACGAGTATTCCATCTTGCCAAGAGTTCATTCTATAGTTTACGAAAGTGTCCACACATATACTGACAGATATTTGTACAATTTGATATTCCAAAACACGGATGTGTGTATGTATATGCGCTAATATAAAACTAAAGGACTTTCAGAGGTCCATTCCTAACTTAAGTGAAATTTTAAGTCATAAACTAAGCGTATTACATACTTACGTGCATACTAAAAAGGAAGCATAACTAAACAACTTGAATATTCTCTCTCGTGTACATCAAGGTCCTGTTAAATAAGTTGTTTATTGATAATAAATGCCATCACGCTTGCAACATGTGTTTCAGATTTTTATTCTAACTTTAAGGTACATTGCCTCATCCATTTTCTAATTGAAACTTTCTTGTTGTAAGAAATGAATTAATTTTAGTTACTTAGTTAGTTGTAGTAAATTTTAGTTATTTAAATGTATCATATAAAATACTTTATTATCAATAATATGACCACGTAACTCGTATATGTATGTGACAAAAACAGATCGATTGAGTTACTCTCGCATACTTACATGTTTAACAAAAATATGAAATTGCAAGTAATTACAGGTACGTGTTTATGAAATATCCTAGATTTGAATTATGAATCAAAGAATTCAGGAATAGTATCTTTATTGCACATATAAATTTTTTTTAATACATTTGTATAAAGATATCTTCAATTGTTTAGAAAATAACTTTTAGTTTCTGTATTTTCATTTGTAATATTGTTTACATCAACTTTCATGTCTAGTACCTTATAGCTCCTATATAACGACCAAAAGAACAGTTATTAATTTAAAAAATTAGTATTAAAAATGCATGAAAGTAAAAAAACATACTATAAATATACAAACGTGCAAAGTACATTTCAGATAAATTCCTTAATAATGGACTTACTCCTACTCTTTGTTTACAGAATTTTATTATGGTTAAAAATGCGTTTTATGAAATAAATTGGTTAAGTTCTCTTAACGAATGACAAAATTCTTCCTTAAATTATATACATATGTATATTACCTCCTTTACTCAAACATTTCATACAACTCAATTAACTATCTAGTTTTAGGTAGTATAAGCAAGGATCACTTAAACGAATTAAATATCCTGCACTTACATAAATTAATTTACAATACAAAGATGAAATAAATAAAGAAATACAAGACTGATTACTAAACTTATTAGCTATTAGATTTCAATTGATACGTCGGGAACAGTCAATAATGAACTTAAATACAAATCAAATACATTGCATGACATGTACAATAACTAATGTTTATGAAAAAATTAGTGACATGAAATTATAAATAGTCGTTCATAGTGCTTCGTCGATTGTTTGCTCTGTGAACGTTACAATTTTTTTTACGCATAGAAGTAAAATACGTATATTTATCATTACATACAAAATGATTCTAACAACAAAGATGCAACAAATAGTTTTACTGTTAACATACCCTGCTTATTATTGCGGTATATGCACAACTCTGCTTTCTATGGAATTAAAAAGAAATTCCACATTTTATTATCAAATACGAGTATCCAACATTTATAAAAATGTATATACTCGAATATATATATATATATAGAGTCAGAAAAAGGAACGTAAAGATTTTAAGCGAACACGCAACATGTTCTCGACATACTAATAGTAGGTGCAAAAATTTAATTAAATTAGTCATTATAACTTCGCGATAACACTGGAATAAAACGACGGTGGTATCAGAATATATGCTTCAGTATTTAAGTATAAAAATTGTCCGAGGGCGTACCACACATACATTCAAAGGTTAGTTATTGGGATATCTTTATCTTTTTGATGATCCAACCTGGTCATTGATATGTGGTCCGCAGCGTGTCCCTAGCAGTTTGTTCCTCTTCTGTAACAATTATTTTTTTAGAGAAACTGATAGTAAATGTAAAGTAACGTCGGGCAATTTTTCATATTAAAATCGTCTACGTACCTTGAATTAAACAATATCTCGGCTCTGGAATTAATGAACCAAACAAGAAAAAATGCGATACCAGCTACTAAACTACCTAGAATCATACTAAACCGCTCTGTAGCTGCTGATGGCTTCAGGAACATTCTTACGCTTAACGTTTGCCATACAGATTCTGTCCATGTGGAATAAGTTCCTGACTTCATATCATACCCTATTCGAAACGCAAACAAATTATATCTGATTTTGAAACATGATATACAATTGGGATGAGCGTTTTTAGAAATTGTTTGTATTCTTCTTTTAAAAAGCACTCATCCTAGTCGTATATTCTCCTTGTTAGTATGATGTACTGAACAACCATACCATCGATTATAAATGCTGGACTCATAGCTGTGCTATAATTCACAGTGGAATTAATACACAATCCAGTGATATTGGTTTGACCAGTCATCCAAGTAAGATGGTGTTTATAGCACGTGGTTTCGTTCATATACGGCACTTCCTTCCTGGTTAAGAAAGCAAGAAGCAGGCCGGTCAATGTTGTGGCAGTATTAGGTACTCTGTCTACACCAACGTACAGTGGCAAAACTTGATTAGTTAATTTAGTGCCTGGTGACGAAGCAGCACGAAATAATTTGCACTTAGCACTTTCCAGATAACAAATCAACATTTCGAAAACATGGTCCTCAACATCAGCTTGAATGGATTCATCTATGGATGGAGGCTGTTTACCAGTTACGTTTTCATAAAGAACATTAGCAACTTGAATTGCTATATTTGCTAAAGAAGTTGCAAGATCATTTGAATCGTTCCTAAAAAGAACTTGTTTAATGTAAATCTGTATTTTCACAATTTATTTTTTTATGTATACAAAGAAGCAGTAAAACCATACCTGTTAAAATGAAGGCTTTCTGCATCATCTAATATACCATTGTAATATCTATTTTCAAATTGATCGCCGTGATTACTTATAACAACAGCCGTTAAATCTGGATTTTCATTTAAGAAACTTTGTATTGACGTAGGTGGGACACTATTATTCCAAACAGTTGCGTTTAACACTTTCTGCAGTTTATTTAACATTTTATTTCCCTTTACATTATTAGAGTGAAAATATAATTTTCCTTTATTCAACTGACCAAATTCAATAACACATTTAATGTCATCAAACTTTAAGTTTACTCCACCTAATGCATTGAAATTGCCTTCTTTCAAATCATAAACTAATCTACTAGATCCTATGTAGTCAAAAGCTTCACCATTTAATAAAGAGAAAACAACGTTAGTTTCTGGAAAAAAGAGAAAAACATTAGCAATATTTAAAAAATATTTACAAGTGCATATTTTACATTATGTTAAGTATACATACCGTTTGGTATCGTAACATTTTTAAACAGAGTATTTAAATAATAGGCAGTGGCAAGTAGAGTAACTAATCCTGTTACTATATTACCCGCCCCAGGTGATATTCCATCAAACAAAGAAGATGCATCCAATCTAGCTGTTACTAGAGTAATGGAGTTTTTATCTTTATTTAAAGGGGCCAAAGGCCAATGTATATTTCTATCTCCTAGAGGATCGCAAAATTGTATTGGGTTAAAGTTTAATTTAGAATCACTGCGCTTAATGCAAGATTCAGAATTAATTGCAGCAAACATGAATGACTTCATTTCTATGGCACACAGTGATCGCAACTCCTGAGTATCCAAATCATGAGCATTATGTTTCCAGAAGCAAGACTTTATTGCTTCTATCAGTGTTTGGTTCTAAAATTAAAAACAAAGAATTTCAATTTTTTCTAATTTCTGTATAAGCTATTTTTGACATAAAAATTTAATCAATAGAATAATCAAAAATTTAGTTAAGTAATTTAGTATTACCTCTATGTAAAACATTGGAAAGGGCCAATCCTCCATAAGTAAAGAGGATCCATATGGATTCCATGGAGTTCCATCATTGCACCTTTTATATCCTGAATACCTGTTTGGACAAGAATCTTCAGGAGAATAAGAATCTAAACGTGGTTGACTGATATTTTTGGCTAACAAAACTCCGTTTGTATTCTTTGTATTCCGCAATTGGAGTAATGTGTCTCTATTAAACATAGAAAATGGAAGAACTACTGTATAAGGTCCAGCAGTAGCATTATGTTCCAACCATCTAATAGCACTTTCTTCCTCGACTAAATGAATAACACCAACGCTTCCTGACCTACTCGCTGCAAAAAGAAGTTATAATTTGCAAGTATTCATAAAAAAAATATATTATACATTTGATGCAATTGAAATTAAACAATTAATATAAACTATGGAAAAAGAATGATTAATAATTGTAATAAATATGACCTTACAAGAACATCCAAACTGATGTGTTCCATTGTGTCTACGGAAACAAGCAGAAACTCCTTCAAATGACATATAAATCATATCTTTTATTCGCTCTGCAGCCACTGAAAACAGTTTTATTTAACATCTATTAAATTTCATTGCGCTTATCTGATTTCAACATTTGTATAATAAAACAATAAAAGAAATTCAATAGTAAACAAATGTCATTTCCTAGTATTCGTATAATTTTAAATGTATACTGCTAACTTATAAATTATAGGTGGAATTATAAATAGAATAATTCACTTCTGTAATAAAGAACAAAAGATAAATTTCCAAAGTTTGTATTGAAATGTTTGGATCTCCATTTCAATGCAAAATTCTCAAATTTAATATTATCTTACCTAAATTTATAATAACGAGTATTAGAAGATATGCCAAACAGAAACATCTTGTCATCTTTCCCTTGCGGTGATACCTGTTAAAGCTTAAGTTTATTTATCACAACCACCACAGTGGACGGTCTATGAAAGGTTAGACTAATGGTGACTGTGGTGACTGTATATATCTGATGGTGACTGATGGTGACTGATCCTTGATGATGTCGGAAGTAGTTGTCCAGTGAGCAGTCCAGTGAGTGCGCATTTATAAAAAAATCCCCCAGAACCTCTCAAAATTGTGCAACTTTTGTCTCTGCTAAATGTCCCTACTCTTGTCATCGATGCAAAAATGGAGACCGATATTAAATAATGTATTCGGTAGAAAATCCGCAATGATCAGTGATCAATGATTTACTTTACAATTTTTAAGATTAGGTTCAGCCAGGATCATGAAGACTGTATAAGGAGTCCTAACTGTATAGTGTAGAAGTGTTTTCAAAATCCCAAGCTTGAAGTTATGAATATTTCTACCACTTGCGGCGCAAGTGAACACAGCTACGATATATATATATCGTAATATATGATAATATATAATCATATAATAATATCATACACATATGACCATGAAGACTGTATAAGGCATTGAGCTCTATCCTAAGGAATATATATATATTACCTCCCCGTAAGGCAATAACAGCAAATAAAATTAAAAATTTTAATGTAACATGTTAAATTTTATTAAATGCAATATATTAAATATTATTGACCTCATTAAATGACTTGCCCGTATATACAATAATGTATTTGCCAAGGTATTTGTATGAATAAATAATCTATAATCTAAATAAAAACAAATTTTTATTCATATTCAATGACGACAAAATAAAAGAAATATAAAATATAGGTATACGGTAAAATAATATAATAAAAACATAAAACAGTTCAGTATATTTGGCATTACCGGTATAATTGGCAATACCGACCAAGAGTAACAAGTAGTATCTTATACTTTGAGTAATATAAGGAAAATATTCAAAAAATCTCGGTCATCATGCATTCCCCTTATCCCTACCTTCGGCGCGTAGTCAACGAACCGCTCGCTGCTCAGGAGCGTATTACTCGTAAACGTATTAATAATATGTACGTCTTTGTTTCTGCTTGACCAGAAGACGAAAAACGGGCAGTGGTAGTCGTGCTGATTCATGTAGAGTAGAATGGTCAAGTAACATAAGAGCCACGTACAATACTCAACCGAGTCGCTATCCTTTGTTTTGAGTCCCAAATCCAGTTGCGCCCGTGGCAGGCGCCTTCTTTGTCACACCCTTGTTACGGCACTGCATGTACGTTTTTGACAGTGATTCCAGGGGCGACTTTTGAATGGAAAGTCCATCGAGTTTTCAGATCTATAATCAGCGCCTTCCTCACCGAAATGTTCAAATTTGTCAAGTTTGTTGTGTGTTGTTTGTATGTACCGCTACATAACGCCACAGGATGATTTTACCGCTGAGAATACTGATGATCGACTAAAAAATTAGTTTGATCTTTTTAACGTTAGATGGTGTTTGTTTGTTTTTTCATTTAAAGTGCATGGGGGATTTTTCGAATGTATTGTGACGCGTTTAGGTAGATCGTGTGAGCACACCTCGGTAAATTACTTTCAAAATCAGCTAGCTCGGTCAGTTTTTAAATGATCAATACTTAGAGAACACTTTAAAAAGCGTGGATTGGACAAATTGCTCCGAGGAAGACGCCGTATTGACGGAGGGAATATCTCCGCCCAACACTAATAATAAAATGAACAATTCTAATATCTCACGCAAAGTTATTAAACAAAAGGATTCCCCTGCAGTGAAAAGAAAAGGATCTCAAGAACTATTGGAAATCGCTAAAAGAGAAAAAGTAGTCACCTCAGATACAGACAAGAACCGTGAGAACAGGATAAACGTATACCCAAATAATCATGTCGGTCCTGGCCACGTGGAAGTTAAACTAAAGAGTGAGTATATTAAAAATTCTTGTACCCAAAACTTAATTCATATTGCCAGAGCAGTGAATGCCATGAATGCAGAAGTAGTAGATATGAAAGCCAGAGGAAATGGTGCGGCAGAATTGAAATTCTTAAATAAAGACCAAGCTAATTCATTCATCCAAAAGATGAACCATGAAAAAGGATACCTCAGTGCATTCATTCCATCCTATGGAACTAAAAAAAAAGGTCTCATAAGGGACATCCCTCTCGATGTAACGATGGATGAAATTATCCACAATTCTGATTCTGCAGCTAAAATCATTAACACAGTAAGGCTTAACAAGAAATCTTTCGATCAAACCACTAGAACTGTCAGCTGGTCTCCCAATGAAACTTTACTTGTAACGTTTGAAGGTGGCACTCTACCAAATCATATCAAATTATTTGGCATTCTCAACATATGAATGCTCATATACATAGAAGGTGTCAAGACATGCCACAACTGCTGAAGATATGGACACACGGCTAGCCATTGCAGAAGCATCAGCACATGCCACGTGTGTGGAGAAAAGTATCCAGAAAAATCCCATAAATGCACTCATGGTCAAAAGCTCCACTGGCTTCACTGCAAAGAAGAGGACAGAACTTTTTCTCAGGAATGCAGTGTATATCAAATTAACGAACTTCTTCAAGAAACGATGGCATATCAAAGCATTGGATACTGGGAAGCCAAAGAATTAATAGCCAACAGGAATGCTGATCGAACACTCTCAAATCAATCCAACTTCTCCCAATAAATCAGACTGAACAAACCTAATTTTCCAGCTTTAGATCCAATATCCAATGAAGCAGAGTACAAATTAAAATAAATAGGCGGACACGCTCGTCAATCTGTAAACACAGACTACTGATCAAAAAGATTGAACTCAGTCGCACAAATTTTAATCGCTCCCAAAGCTAAAAGCACAGAAACCACTCAGATTGACATCATCAAGCCCTCAACTTCAAATAATATGACAAACAACACACCACAAAAAACACAAGTTTACCCACGAAATGTACCAAGCTACTCCAAAAGTATCAAACTAGTAAACTCTCCAGGAGGAAGAAGTGACATCAATCAAAAACAAATATATTTATCAACAGATTCAATTTCAAAAGATTCTAAAACTCTAATTGTCAAGCAATATAAAGGATCATTAAATAGAAAAAACAACATTAAACATGAGTCCAACTAATATTTTACTGTGGAACTGCCGTAGCATCCACGATAAGAAAAAAGAATTCACCAAAATTTGCAACAGCTATGACATCATAATACTAACCGAAACCTGGCTTAAGGGTGCGCAGGACCCAAAGCCAAACTCCGAGTTGACTTCAGCGACAGTTGCGGAAAAAGTAGGAAACTCCGGGATAAGGACGGAGAGGGCGATTCAAAAATTGCAGGAGAGACGAGGACAGGACGATTAGGCTAGCATGATTTTTTTCCAGGATATTGAAGCAAAGAAGCAATATTTTCTAATAATTCTGGTTTTAATATATTCGTTACACTTTGGCGGATGCGACTCCAAGGCCAAAATTGCAAAGTCAGTTTTGCAAAAGTCAATTGCAAAGTTTAACTTTTATAAAATACAACAAAAAGTGAACATATCATGACAAACATTTTACACTTTAATGCTCGGACCCTTTGAGGTCTATCGTGGGTTAAAGTCGGCACACGTGCGCTTTGGATGGTTCAACTGTTGGTTTATGGCTTTCAGTAATCACCCGATTTCACTTCATATGCATCGTATTATTACGGGAGTAACGCCGATGGATTCCTTACGTTTTCCTGATGAAAACGCTACTAAACACTATGTAAATCGGACTATTTTTAACGAAGATAGACAAAAAGCGTGCAAATCATTGTTTCTGTATAATTTCCTTCTAAATAATCCGAACTGTATCGTGTCTGGTACCATTTTCATCGGGATAACATAAGGAATCGATTGGTAGTACGGAAAATGATGGTCGACCTTCTTTGGGTCTAGTTTGCTACGTCCTGTTTATGATACCATTATTGCCCGGCGGCTGACTAACATGTTTACTCGGAAAAGCTTGAAACCATTTGAGTTGCCCGGTTCTTTCGGGCCGCTTGGTTTTTTCGGACCGCTCGGTTCTATTCGGGTAGCTTGAAAAATTCAAGTTACTTGGTTTCTTTCGGGTAGCTTGAATCTTTCAAGCTACTCGGTTTTTTCAAGTACTCGACTCGGCTCGTGACTTCGAGCCGAGTCTAACTCGGCTTGATTTTTTCGGATATTTGAACAGCCCTAGTGGGATTACAGGACAGCGTGGGAGTGCAAGACAACATGGGACTTGAGGACAGCGTGGGACTAAGGTCAACATTAAACCTGAAACAAGTAAAGACTGCGGCGCACTTGCCTATAATGTGCTTCTAGGTTCATCCAGAGGTTAGTGTATTACCTTACAATAATATTATCTTTTATTGTATTCCTTTTTTTAGTTATGATAGGTATTCAGTATTAGAAACATTTTTAATGTTTAATTTTTAAACAGTTTTAATGTTTCTTTACATTACACAGTTTTCATATTTGCCTTGTAATTGCATTACTTACATATATTTTTTTCTTTCCATAGAAAACATTGGGAGAATAAATAAGAATTCCAAAATGGAGGAACCCTGAAAAAAACGCTGCTCAAAGCTGTGGCAAAAGTTTTGAAAACAGCCAGGCAGTTCAGGCGCCGGAGGTCAACGGTGAGAAAACGCATCGAGAAGATTGAGCATCTCGTGCAGACCGGTGTGTGTCAGGTTTTAGAAAGCCTGCCAACACCCCTGCACGCGATGCTCTCTGCTCAGATGCGCAACGCGGGAAAGGCGAAATCGGCGCGACGCTTCTCCGAAGAGGAGAAGCTATTACCTGTAAGCATTTTAAAACAGAATTCCAAAACTTATCGATATTTGGCAAAGTTATTTCTTTTCTCAAGCATCGAAACTTTTAGGAAACTAATATCCCAAATTCCACTAAAAGCTGGAATTTGCGATAATGTTTTTGAAGAACTCGAAAAGCGGACCGTTATTCCGACAAGTTAATCGTCGATAAAAAAAAGCAGATACGCGTGTTTGGTTTTTGATGAAATTAGTTTATCGCCTCAATTACAGTACAATCCCTCAATGAATGTAATTGAGGGATTTGTAGATACTGGTTTTTCGCGTAATTTAGATATCATGCTTAGAGATCATGCTACAGTGTAGATGCTGAAAGGAATTCATGGTGTGCGACCGTGGAAACAACCTGTTGCGTATTCATTTTGTAAATATTCCAGTTCAGCTGAGAACCTTGATCGTATGTTTAAAGAAATAGTTCGCTGTGCATGTCAGGCCGGTATAGTAATAGTAGCAACAGTTTCTGATCAAGAAAGCACAAATTGCAAAGTTATTCAAAGCTTACTAGATTCCTCAAAGAGAAATTGTTAAAACTGGTTTATTTATTTAACATGTATACAAAAAAGGATTTATGACATTTCGTCTTTGTTCTTAACTGTAACTGAAACTTTTGTTAAAATATAAAATTACAAAATAAAATAATATCACACGCGACCATATTACGTTCTTACAACTGTACCGATGCCTACGTTTTTGCGCACAGCGCTCCACACGTTAGTCTGCCGCGCAATTCGAATCATAACAATAATGCATGCAAATAAAATAATTATCTTCAACATAAATGCCTTTCAGGAATCGAATGCACTGCGGCATGATGTTACTGTAGTCGACAATAACATGATTGTACCGCTGTTTCATCCCCTCCCCCCCCCAATTTGTTAAAATGTGTCCGGAACAACTTGCTGACAAAGGACTTGAGTTTTAAATTTCAAGACAATATTTCACGGGTGGCTAAATGGTCACACGTGGAAGATATATATTTTATTGATAGCAGTAATGTTTATGAAGACCGACTGATAAACTTACTGCTAAACATGTTATTCCAAATAAAATACCTAAAATAAAAGTAAAATATTACGCTCAAGTTTTTAGTCGAACAGTTGGAGCCCTCATGACACTAATGAGCCGTAGCAAAGGTAAGAGTGTGTGCGGTACGCGTGAAATGTCGGGTGATGGAATTGACACTGCTCGATTTATTCATTTTATGAATAATACTTTCGACAGTGTCAATAGTAGAGTTGCGCAGTCCACAAGTAAAACGGATATGATCTTAATAAATGTTTGGAATTTAGCTATTTCGGGTTTTCGTAGCATGAGTTTTTTGAAAAGAAAGCCTGCGGATAAGGAGCATCCTAAGGTACTGAACAGTTGGATTAGGACTCTTCAAAATTAAAAATTGTTTAAATCTCATCTGCGTGATCTTGGTTTTATTGAATTTATTACGCGTAACTTTAACCAAGACGCGCTTGAAAATGTTTTCGGACAAATAAGGCAACACGGTGTCCGTAATATTAATCCAACTTGCAGAGCCTTTCAATCATACTATTGAACACTGCTTATCAATAAAAAAATTTATATCGGTTGCTCTACGTGCATCGACGGATGAAATTTATTTAACTTCTCTAACTTTTAATGTTCCAAGTGCACCTGAATTAGCTATTCAGGTTGCCATTCGATACGTTACGCGAATTATTCGAAAAAAATATGTTTGCAAAAGTTGTTTAGACTTATTTTTCAAAACCGATAATTTCGGGGAACTTTCGTCGATGCATAATGGATCCACATTTTTAATTTCTAAGGTCGTATCTGTTTGCTATGCTAATGTTTCAAACATAGTACACATTTCCGGTCTTGTTACGACTATGAAGTTACAAATTTCTGAGCATATAAAATTTGATTTCATATGCTCCGAACATGGAAATGATTTGAGACCATATATGATACATAATTGTATCATATATGTTGTCGAAACGTATGTAAGCAGAGTTAATCGCATTATAAGTTATAATAGATTCGAACAGAGAATGGACTTGGATCTACATCTAACGCGTCCTATCGAGGTGCGTACATCTAATGTAAGCAAGACTAGATTTTTGTTTTAATAGGTTGTACTTAATTTAAAATTTCCCTTTTAAATTAAGTAGTCTTCTTTGTCAATATCTTTAATACTTCATTTTTTACATTTGAAATCTTTTTATTGTACTTCATTTTCCAAATAATAAATTCGGTCTTGTATGAAAGTTAATTATGTGTACTACACCTTTTTTGTATATTTTATTGTATTTTTTTTATTATATACTTTTTGTATCCTATATTTTATTGTATATTTTTATTATATGTATGTATAATAAGTTTAATTTCATACAGTAGAGCCTTTTTTTTCCTTCCTTTACTTTTTATTCAGTTTCATTTTAAAGCAGGTACAAATACACATGTATAGGATCATGTTGTTGTGTGTGTGACTCACTGATTATGTTGTATGTGGTAGTAACGACACTGGCGCCGCGGGTAGTCCCGGGCGCGAATTAAAATCGGGCTTCAACGCAAAATACTGTAGCTCGGTGGCCCTGGGGAAAACCTAGAAGAAATCCTGGCAGATCGTAACCTGATAGTCCACAACTTAGACTCCCACTCAAGGATAGACAATAGATATAACATCAAGACCAACATTGACCTTTTTATCACAAGTTCAGACATTGTTTACCTGATTGCTACTAGACAACTAGATGATACCTTTGGGTCTGATCACTCCCCTATAGAAATTAAAAAACAGATATATTCCAGAATCGCCAATAGACTATCCACAATTAGAACAGACTGACAACTCTACCAAACTGAGATGAATAACTCCTATAATGAATACCTCAACATGGATCATGTAGCCCTTCCAGAAACTCACAGATACGAATTATTCAGCGAATCTATGAGAAAAGCAGTTATCAAGCACACTCCAAAGAAAAAGGCTAACTCGAAAGTAGGGGTTACCCGAAAAAGCAACCCGGCCCCCTGGCGGAATGAGGAGTGTGACCGTGAAATAAGAAAAAGAAAAGCCTCGCTTAAAAAATGGCTGCACACCTTAAAAGCAGAGGATTGGAATGTATATAATAAAAATTATTTCAAAGGATATAACTGTTTCATACGAAAGTTGGGGGAAGTGTCGTGTGGTTCAACACGGTCCTCTTTCCAGAAGGCCATGCCTTCCCCACTCTGTAGCCAGATCTTTCTAGAACTATATATCATTTGTTTAATTCAATATGGCTAATTATTAATTATGGCAATGCAACGTCGGGTTGCTTGGCCAGTTTACGCGTTACCGATGGTAACTCATCGGTCATGCGACATTCCTTTTGGAGCCGCCTTCGGATCATCGCAAGCTCGCGCTCTGACACAAGCTGACGTCTTGGCCCCTCGCGAACCCATCGCTTGCAAACAGCGGCAGATTAGCTGTTCCGAAAATCAATATATTGATCGAACGCTAACATATACATATACGTTTACAAAGTACACGCGGTGTAATTTCTTTCCACCCTAATCCTAAAACATCAAAGACCCATCACTTTATTTTGTTAAATTGAAGCGTTGCGTCAACGAAGAAACCACCGACCGTACCTATCGATGGTATCAGTTATCAAACTCCGATAAGGTGAAACCTAAACATCTAGGAGGCATTCCGGGCAGGATGTTATTTTTTAAACGTTATGAAAAGAAATCAACCACTACCCATGGAAATTCATGTGGTATAATTGTTTCTTCTACCCTCGGTAGCGTAGGCTACTCGTTAGGCGGCCGCACTCATGCGCGAGCAAGTGACTTGACGTGCATCGAAGCGCGTTGTCGTATACGAGTGCGGGCGCTCCACCGGCATAGTCGCATTCTGATTGGTCGGTGTTTTCTGTTAATATATCCTTAACGAAGCCTCGGACAACATTTTCACTAAGGAAAAAGTTGTTTCAAATCACCCCCCCCCCCCCATCACCACCCCTTTCAAGGACCTCCAACATTTTTGGGACACCCTGTATATTGTCTTATAGTTTTATCGCACCTAATTTTATCAAAAATTAGAAATTTTAACGAAACTATTTTTAATGTAATTCAACAACATTGCCACTATGGAAATCTATGTACTTTAGTTGATTCTTTAGATTAATAACGTAAACTTTTACGAAAACATTAGTATTAATAAAATATTAGCTAAAATCACAGGGATCTTGTACTTTAGTCGCGGAGTGTATGTCTAACGAGCTTAAATAAATTAGCAAAATGTTCGAGGTTCGATAGTTTCTTGGGGAAGCGGAGAAAACGTGTAACAATGATGACGCATATCGCGCGGACGAGATAGCAGCGTGTCTCAACCTGGGGACCAAAAGCTTTGAAATTAAAATCGGAGATAAACGCGTAACATATTTAATTTTATTTTATAAAAAATATACATGTCGAATTGAGTAACCTCGTCCTTTTCGAAGCCGGTTATAAAGTAAAGTGGAGCACTATCGAGGGTAACAACGAAAGTTTACATTGTATGTTACTCAATGTTACTTTTCATAGATAAAGTAAACATATCATAAAATAAAAAAAAAGTTTTAAATTATATTAAAAACAAATAATTTACTTCTAACCTAATAGATCCGTGTTTACTGAAACCGGGAACAAGATAGATAAAATTTGAATAAAAACATGTAAAACTACTTAACACTTTACCAGTCGTATGCTTCATTATATAAATTATGAAATATTACACAAAAATGTTAATCTGAAAACGATTTTAATAGATAAAGTAAGTAATACATATTGTTAATGCATAAATACGAATATTTTTCAAAACAGTTTCAAATCATATTGAAAAATGTACAGGTCTTCGATCAAAGATTGAACGACAGCGGTGGAAAACCTGTTTGCATAAAAAATAAAACGACTCATATACATAAAAAAAGTACATAAAAAACATTTTTGTTATTTTTTGTGGATGCTCAATAAATACAGTTGTGTTATCAAACTCATCAGTAAACCCTAAGGTGAGAAGCGATCTATGGTCAAACGCAACAGTAAATCCTAAGCTGAGAAACGATGTTTTAATGTATCTACAGTGAGTGTAGAATGTATTCGTACACCGATCAATTTACTAACATAGTTTTGTGTGAAATTATAGTTTCTTAACTTCTTTTTTTATAATCAATGATATTTTACATATACTCGGAAGTTTCTAAGATAGATATAGTCCAAACAACATCTATAGTTAATATAATTTGTGAAATTAACAAAAAAATGCGAAAAGTGCGTAAAAGCATAGAAACAATAAGTATTTGGACGATTCTTATGACGAACCATTTACAGTAGAGTTTGTAAAGGAAATCCCACGAAGGAAGTATTATATGTATACTTATAACTTAATGTTAATTTCTTTTTTTTTTTAATCAAGTTTGAAAAATGAAACAGCAAAAAAAAAATTTTTCAAAAAAAGTTTGAAAAATGAACATTAATTGTTTCGTTTCGTTTCGTTTCGTTTTGTTTTGTTTTAATTTTGCAACTTACATAAATAACTATTTCTTCTTGTTATCTATCTATTCTAGAGATTTCCGAGAATATGTATAATGTCATTGTTTATAAAAACTAAGTTAATAAATTACAATTTTCATAGTTCTTTTGGAAATTAATCGATGTACGAATACTTTCGACAGCCACTGTATGTAATCAAACGCAACAGTAAATCCAAAGCTGAAATTGTAAAAGTCCTGATTTAATTCTTTATCCTTGATCCTTTGATTTTATCCTTTGATCCTTTCAATTTATTATTTCCGTTTGATCACAGGATATTTAGCAAAACGAAACTAGAACAGTTTTCAACCGTAAAACGTAATTTCACGTAAAGCTGAAGTTTGAGAAACACTGACGAATAGGAGACTCGTAACGCCGATACCTATAGAACGCAACAGATATCATTAAGCGAGGTGCACGTGAGCGCCGGAACACGTGTATCAGTGTCGATAGCGTACCAGCAGCCGTTGCAAGCGAGCGTACCACTACGACTGGAGACCAGTGCTAGGCGAAGACCGGTTCGCTGGAAACGGGTAGCGAAAATACTGGAACACCGCAATCTCTCACACATTTTTGGGAAAGTGTGCCCGTCGCGTAAAAGTTTTCATACCGATTGAAAAGTAATAATAAATCCGTGTGTATAGTACTATAATATAAACGAGTGTACGTTTCCCTTCAGTTTGGCGTACTGCTAAAACGAAATTAATTTTTTTGGTAGGTGATCAATTAACGAAACAACGATTACGACGATATTAAGGCTAGGCGACGATGCAAAAGTTCAACGAACGTATCACGGGATTTGCTGCATAACGCTCCTCCGCGATAAGGAAAGTTGTAACGCAAATTTCATCGTTGATACTTTGAGAAACAATCAGTCCCTATGGTGACGCTAATCAATCGTTTATTAGTGGCTATCGATCGCCGTTACGTGTCCCGCTTAATCGCATACGCAGTCAACAATATACATAACTTGTTTCAGGTGCACTCTAACGGGGCCACCGGAAGTAAATGGGTTTCGCTTACGAAGAACACGATTCTTCGCCGCGAACGACTTTCGATCGTCATATTCACCTGTGTCACGTGATCTGCGATTGTTCGCCGATCGTCGTTCTCGAGGAACGTAAAATTCAATCGCAGCCCGGATAATAGGTATTTTTCTACGCACTTAACACTTTACCGACAGGTGAGCCATTTACACTTTACCGGCCGGTAGCAATATTTTCTTATGTAGTACTGTAATAGCATTTTATGTTCCCATCATTATATGAATTTTGAAATAGTGTGTAAATATTGATCTAAAAACAATTTTAAATATAGAATTAATGTTATGAAAATAAAAAATATTAAATTTAATTATATGTCTAAATGTTACCGATCGGTAAAATGTTAATCAGCTATTTTTCATGACGATCGATATTATGTTATCAATTACTGAGGTAGCATTGTATACTTCCATTATTATATGTATAAATGATGAAATATTACATAAATATTAATCTAGAAATGATTCTAATAAATAAAATTAATATTCTATAATACTAATGACATTAAAAAAAATATTATTGAATTCAATTATACGTTCATTCACTAACGGTCGATAGTGTTACTGGAATGTTAATACACGGAGACTTCATTTTGAAGAATACAATCGCGTGGCTTTTTAAGTGGTGTCCATTGTATTGTACAATCAGGTTCCAACGTATTATTACTGGTAAATTATAACCGGTAGCGGGATTATAATGGAGATGGTCAAAATTTAATTTTTGTTTAGGTAAAAATATAAACCAAAGTATGGAAGAGAGAAACTAAATGATTTTCCAAAAGGGTCTTTTAGAGAACACAAATGGTTATTTTAATTTTAAATGAATGAGTTATATCATTGCAATTATACCAACCAAGTGTCCACTATAAGTTCCAGTCTTACTGAACTTTACAGTCCTCCAAAACATTTTCATTTGTGTTTATCCTAACACAAATAACACTGTCCAACAAATTTAAACTTTTTTTAAATTCCGCGATACCCACTAAGTGATTCTTACAGGGTTCCTCGTCCTAAATACGAATCTGAAAGTGAAAATGCTCCATCACCCTTAGTTTTCGAGAAATTCACGATTTTATAAATACGGTCAATTTTGAGAGAAAACGTTATACTACTTGAAAACTTCGAACGCTAGAAAGTTCTATTTAGTTTTAAA